CTACATAAGCTGTCTCAATACAGAATAAAAAAGTAAGTGCTGTTCCTCCCAATTCTGATCCCTCTAAATGTTGAAATCTTCAAGTAAACTTCTATTATTTCCAAGGTGGAGCTTTGGACTGACTTCTGAAATGCCTGATGGGATAAACAGGTCACAGCTTCCCCTTTCCCATTCAGGTGGTGAACTTAGAGATACACTGTCTTTTTGCTTGTCTAACCAGATTAAAAAAAATATTACAATCAGGAACAGCAAGAGTGTTTGCAAGAAAAGAAATGCACAGACAAGCAGCAGCAAGTGTTATTCAGGTCAAAAAAAAAAGCTGAAAGCTTGCATTTTACTAAAAACTGCTTATGCCATCATAAGTTACACCTGTTTCCCTCTTTCATCTTTCTCTAAATCTTGTCCTTTTGATGATAAGTACCAGTTAGATACCCGAGTGATCCCAGTTCTCTTTTATGCCTTTGTAAGCAGTTTAAACAGAGTCTTGTGGCCATAAACAAAGCTCACACCACCAACTTTCAGAGGGAAAGGAAACAGTCACAGCAGAGACAGAATGACACCAGCAGTAACACAAGACACTAGGTTCTTGTACATGAATTATCTGTGTTTTCCAAAGCTCTGCTATAGAGCTGCTGAGTTAGGGAAACAGGAAGGCCCCACAATATTCAAACATAGCTTGCTTCAAATGAGTGGAGATACATGGAATCCACGATTCAACCAAGGAACCTTCCTTCAGCCTCCACAACACCGGCATGGAAGCATCCCAAGCCTGCAGGGCTCTGCTTGCACCAACAAAGCAGAGCGGGGCAGTCTCAAATTAGGCTGGCTGACAGCAAAACAGAACCACAAGCGCTGCTGTACCCACACAGCAGGCACTCAGACAGGCTCCAACAATGGAGCCAAACCACCTGGGGAAGGCAGCAGGTGGAGCGGCACCCACAGCTCCCACAGGGGCCTCACAGGCTCTAATCCCATTGCTTCTCACTTCCAAATACACATCAGGGAGCTCAGCTAACCCTGGGACAACTGTTACAATTCCACAAGAAAGGAGTATTTTAGGACCTCTCCAAAACCACAACTGAACTTCCTGACTTAAAAATATCCATGATTCCTTTTTCCAATAGTGCATCTCTTCCCCATCACCCACCTCCCAAGGCTGGCAAGGCAGAGCCAAGCTCCAAGACCAGAGTCAAGCTGCCAGACTGGAGTCAGTGCTGCCCTTTGTTCTCACATCAGCCCGAGCCTTATGAAGAATCACCACTATAAATTCACACTTAGACTACAAAAAAGCCAAAAACAGACACACAGAAATTAAAAAACCCACCAAAATGAAAACACTTTGCCTTTTTTTTTTAAATCATATCTTCCTACATGGCTGAGAAAAGTAAAATACTTCACCCTTTATCTTAGAAACTGCTCTCACACAGGTTTGAGGGTACACTCACTTCCACCAAATGTGAAGCCAGGGCACAAAAAGTTGAAATAACTTCAGAAGGCTTTCCTGATCCCATCACATAGAACCCAACACTGCAAGTCAGGGGTACAGACACAAGTCCCTTCACATCAGAAATACCTCTGATTTTCCACACAAAACTGGCAAACTTGCAAAACTAGTCCACAACAGTTCTAGTTAAGTCTACTATTGCTTTTGTCTAAGTTGCATTAAACACAATACAATAGGGCTTGACACCTTAAGGATGCAGATTTTTGTATGACTTCATATTAGAAGACTAAATTTAAGCAGGCTCAGAGAGCTCAGGAAAATGCAGATGGAATTTTACTGTTCTTATCTCCTTGCCAATAGAGAATTAGCAATGCCTGCAGGAAACAGCTGATGACTCCACAATGGATGTTCTACTCTGGGGTTTCAAGTTTTTTAAGTTTGTTCATCTGCTCAACTGAATTTTGTCTGAGCTACTGTTATTAAAATATTCTTCCATTTCAACAACATAGAAAAAGTCTGGCCACTTGCAAGTGGTTACAGCTCACCTCGGTAAGTCTTCTCCACAATGATTAAGAAAATCTTAATGATAAGATTCATGTACTTTGCCAACCCAAGTAACTTACCCACATATACTTTATAGGTAGTAAAAATTTAGTTCTTTACCATGTACTTGATGAAGAAGTAAAATTAATTTATATTAACTGATCACTAATGCAAGAATTAAAACACTGGTTCACAAACAGCAGTCTACCTCATGGTGACAATTTCTTTACTAAACAGGATATACAGACTGACATCATGTTAAAAATAGTGTCTGTCCCTTCACAGAGAGATTTTCAAAGTAAACCATCAAAAACCATCCTGTCATACATTAACTTTTTAGTTTAGTAAGATAAAAGGTAACATTATTACAGGAAGATTTACAAAACTGTACACAAGTGTAACATGATGACAGCTTTGTATTAAAAAAATTACTATTTCATCCAAGAGAGCAGCAGACACTGAACTATTTCATATACACTGACAGTGATTGGATTTAACCACAGAAAAAAGGCCATTAGGACATGGAAAAAAGGGAGGACACACACTGCAACCAGATCCCAAACCAAATCATAAAGACAGCTGTATCATAATCATGCCTTTGTTTAAGCTCTTTATACCTCTTATCTTGGCCAAAACATCACATGAGGAGAAAGCTGTCACATAGCTTTGGGATGAGCATTTGAAAAGTGAAGGGCATGAGAGTTTGACACTTCAATGACCATGGAGGCATTTTTTTTGGTTTGTTTTTTTTAACCTAACTCTTCCTGGACATCTTGGACACTTAAAAGAACATCCTGAACCAAGCCTCTTACTTCCAATTCCCTCAGGATCCATTGTTTCTTCCACTCATCCAGAACTGCATTCCTTGGCACTGAACAGATGGGACAGGAGACACTCTCAGCCTCCCCTGTCTCATCCCATGGCCTGGGCTTGCTGCTAACTGCACAACTTTTCTTTTGACACAATGAAATTCTGGTCAAGCTTCTTTCTGTGTTTCCCCAAGCACACAGACATTTTACTGCTTCCTCCCCCAGGCAGCCGTGGCTCAGTGCTGTCCCTGGGCACTGACTCCCAGGCCTGCCTCCTCCTAGGAGCAGCATTCATTAAGCCTCCACACACTGGGGTTTGGTGAGTGCACAGCTCAATGCACACCTGAGGTGAACAATGCAGCCTCTATGTCCTCTCTCTCACACTTCTGCAGTGTAAGGCATCAAGGGAGATGCCACTGTGGAACATACATACTAAAGGATGTATACACATCACATTTATTTTAATGTACACACAAATTTTATAAGTATCTCAGGGACACAACACCAAAGAAAAGTAACTTTTTCCTCTTTTCTTACCTTATATTCTTCAATCTCTTCCTCATCAGCTTCTCCTTCATCTGGATATTTACGTTTTGCATTTGGTGCAGAAGTATCATAAGCAGCCCTATGAAGAGCCAAAATTCCTCATAAGAAAGTTTCTGTCTTCAAAGAAAAAGGTTCAGGAATCTTTGATAATATCCCTTGTCTGCATGTTACAAATTTGAAACTATTTCAAAACATCATACATGAAAAGCTATTCCTCTCTCAGTATATTTCAGTTCTGTACAACTTATTAAGAATAGAACTCTTGAAAAGAGTAATTTCCTTGCCTTTCTCATTTTTCTGCTCTCAAAACTACAGCTTATTTTAACCAATGCAGTATATCTACAGAATTAAGCTCATTCCCTTCCAGTTCTCTGGGTTTTTCTGTTCTAAAAGGTACACCTTGTTTTACCCCAAAGCAGTTTGTTTACAAAATTACAGCTGTTCAGACAGATGTTGCAAAAGCAGGGGAAAAAAATCAAGGAGGAAGACACAACCTGAGGGGGAGGATATCAGGGACATGGCATGGGTACTTAAAAATCCTTGCCGAAGTCAAAAGCCATGAAAAGGCCTGTATGCCAACAAGTGCAGGACCAAAGCTTGCCAAAATTCCCCTTCAATTTCATTTCACCATTGAAGGCCGAAACAGAAAAGGACTTATGAACACTCTGGGATGGAGATATCATCAAAGGAATTTAAATTGAAGGGGGGAAAAAAATTGGGAAGAAAAAATGGACTGGGATTGCATCTGGATTACATCTGGTGCAGTGCAAAGGACCAAAACAGGCCAAAACTAACCAGACAGATGTTGTAAAAGCAGGGGAAAAAATCAAGGAGGAAGACACAACTTGGAGGGGAAGATAAGCAGTAGATTTTATTTGATTTGATAAGTAGCAGATGATAAGCAGTAGATGCTCTGTCCTAGACGTATCTGTAGTTTCATGAGAACTTTCAAACTGAACTGCCCTGAACTGTGCTTAGCAGAAGCATGAAGGCTCTGGGACCCAAGCAGACGGCCCATTCTAAACTCAGAGCTGTTTTCTTACACAGTAGCTTTTTCACACCAGAAACAAGTCAGCCTGCATTTCCAACCAGCCCTTAGAAGGGAATAACCAGACCCTACTCGCCTTAGTCGCGGCTCTGATGTAATTACTGAGTTTCCTTCTACCGAGGGCAATCCCACGGCGCTTGCCGGGCCTGCTCTCCTCTGCAGCCCCCAGTTTTGCACAGCCACCGCCCTCCCATACCGACCTGCACGTCTCCCTGGTTTCCGCGATCTCTCGCTGCTCATCCTTGCTGTTGAGCACGGCGCCGATGCTGTCGGCGTTCTCGGCCCCCAGCTGCACAGCGGCAAACACAAAGTCACTGGGCGGCCAGCCCGGTCCCCGGTCCCCCGCCCCGCAGCGCCCCGGCTGCCCCCGGCCGTACCTGCTGCGCCAGGAGCTGGCGGCGGAGCTTCTGCCGCTCGCGGATCTCCTGCAGGCGGCTGTTCATGGCCCGCACCGGCCCCGGCTCCGCGCTCCCGCCGCCGTCACTTCCCGGCCGCGCGTCACTTCCGTGCCGAGCAATTCCCGCAGGGAAACCCCGCGGTGGGCGCACCGCCCGTTCCCGAGGGATGCCGGCGATGCTCTGGTGTAATGGCAGCTTCACGTTCACTCGGGCGCTGCAGTGCACGGAACCACCCCTGAGGCGACACCCGGCTCAGGCCGTGTCACGGCTGTGACCACTTAAGCACCTGGTCGGTTTTTCTAAAGTACGTCCTTTGTGTCCAATTCCAGTATCCAGCGTGGTTATTCGTAGGTTAACCTTCATGTTTTGCTTCATCTTCTGATCCTTTAGAAACTTCCGCTAAGAGGAAAGAGAATCTTTGAAGCTCTTTTCATCTGATTTTTGGTGTCTTTCCTGCTTCCTCCTGTCCCCCCGCTCCTCTGTACTATCTGTCTGGGAATGTATCTAATCCATATTTCATGCTGACTTTCTGAGAACTATTCAGAATGCAGTGAACAATAAAGATGGAAATAAAGGCCTGCAATAAATGTCAGTCCCTACTGTCTCACAAAAGGAAACTTAACGAAAGAATAAAACAACATTACAGTTACCCCACAGTTATATGGGATTAATTAATTAATGCTGATGTTTGCTCTCCTGACACTGACCAATTCTTCCTAGAATTGCCAGATGCAGCGATGTGGGCAGCAAGAGCTGAGAAGTGACACTCAGGTCCCTGCTACACACAGCATGCTGTTCCTCTGCTGGTTTCTGAGTGCCAGATACTGACACACTTTAGTGATACAAGATGTTATTCTCCTTTTTTTTTTGAATGTGTGAATATTCTCCTTTTTTTAATATTGTGTACATGACAATGACATTATGCAGGTCACATGGTCACACTGAAAACTGAGAAAGATGCATGAAGAGAAGGAAATGAAAGAAGTCCAGACTAATGTTGTGGGAACTCAGCACATCCCTTTGGATGTCCAGAGTTGCCAAGAACCCCGTTGGGGGGCTTGGAGACCCTGGCATGCTGCCTGGAACACCTGGTGGCTGACTTTGACCCTTGCAGCCAATCGCCAGTTTTGTATGAGGACATGAAAGTCACACAGGTTTGAATGGTGTAATAATAAAGTATTCACAGGGTGAAAATGTAGATTTTAGGATTTTTGGTATGGGTTATAGGGACAAGATGGAGGAACCAGGGTGTGTCTAGTCCTTCTCCTTTCTTCTTCTTGTTCTCCATTTTCTGCAGTGATGTTGGCACTTTGGGGTTGGTTTAGAATAGAAGTGCACCGTCTTACATAGGGGATAGGTATTGGGAATTTAGAGTAAATATGTTGTATGTAGTTTGCAGTATAAAAAGACGATACTGCCTTGGGGGCAGTCAGAGTGCCTGTGACTGCCTTGCTGAACAGCCCTCAGCTGGACAGAAAGAAAATTTTATAGATAAGAATTAATAAACAACCTCAAGACCGAAAAGCAAAGTCCAGACTCATTCTGCTGCTGCGCGGGCCGAAGCAGAGACACCCTGCACATCTGGGGCAGAGAACATCAACAGCCGACCCGAGAAATACAAACACAAACCACTGCAGCTATCACATTTCTCAGTGCTACAATATCCTAGAATTAGGAGGGAGCTTTTGAAATTTCATCTATTTGATCCAATACCCTACAATACCAAAAGTTGGGTTTTTTTTATTTCCTTAGGGAATACATTACTAGTTATACTGTCCTATCCATAGACATGTTATGGGGAAAGAAATGCTCAGTAGCTGTCTCATGCTACTGTGCACTGCTTTGACATTGTTGGTTGTAATGAATACAGTAGAAGCCTCTGCACAGTAACAAAATCACTTCCTCCTGGATGTGATCTGATGAGGTTTGTGGGAGCCTGCACTCCACTTTTAGAACTGGTTGGTAAGATGAGCTGATCTTTACAAACATTAATGGCTATATAAGAAGCCATATAAGATGTTCTGCTGTATACATGCACTCTTTCAAAACAATAAAGTTGTATTTTTGCAGAATGCTCCATGCTTTTCTGCTTCTCTGTGTGTGCTGTGGTCAGTTAAGGTAAATATCAGACAGAATTCTCATTGCTCTAATGGTGACTAAGGAGTTTGTGGAACTGTCATCAACTCTGATCTATTATCCAGACTTCTTCCTTCATGTTTATGAAGCCAATTGTTTCCACATCCTATTTTTATTTAGCTGATTATTCCTGAGTACATTACCTTTCACTTCTCTTTTATGACACACATTCAATCTTTTTAGTTCTTTCTATTGCTGCAATAATTTTCAATTCAAAGACTGTCCTCCAGCCTACTGTATCTACTTCCAGTGTGGCTGTGCAATAAGCAGATATTCTCTGCCACTTTGCTTAACCATTTACTGTATGTATTGTATTATAAAGTATTTATATATTATTATATATAGTATATAATAAAGTATATAAAGTATTATAAAGTATTTATAATAACACAAATTCACACCCATTTGGGAATTGTTACACTGACAAATATTCAAGTCTGGACTAGTCCATTTAGCAAAAAACTGCTACTTACTTTGTGTCAGTAGAAATTATTGTAAAAGTTACACAGAGTTAGACACAAACGGCTTGATTTAGCACTGTTCTCATTTTAATTGTTCTTCACATCACATTGTGCCCTATTAGATGCTAAATAAATTAATAAACTAAAAGCACCAAATGGATCAAATAGATGAAATGAGAAAGTTTGTCTCAACTCAAAAAGGATGATTAGAAAAACATATAATATAAGAACCTTTTATAATAGAAAAACAGATCTTAGCATGGACTAACATCACACTCATTTAATGTCCCTTTCGCCCTTGCTTTCAATGAAGTACCTAGATGTACCTCTTCAGCAATGTCTTTATAAATTGTTACCTCAGTCTTGGAGCCTATTTTGAACAAGTGACAGTATCCCAACACCCAGTGACTGCGGCTGCGCTTGATTTTGTACCCCTGCCTTAGCCTGTGTCCCCTCCAGAAGGCAAATCCCACGTCATGAGCCTATTGCAAAAACACCACACCCATTTAGTTTCAAAAATCGATTGGAAGTATCCAAGTAGCAGCAGAGTGTCTATCAGGCGAGCACTGCAGGTCCTCAGTAAGCCCACAAGCATCCAGGCAGAACACAGCCTCCATAAACACCCTGCCGCCGCCTGGGGATAATTTGCCGGGCATGTGCTGCCATTTCACACTTCTCTAGATCAAGTTCCACTGCCACTTGATCCAGCCTCGGACATGTCCTTTGTGATGGACACAGAGCCTTGATGTTGGAGCTGCTGCCCCTGCACCAACTGGTCATACCTGGATGTGATCATTGACAGGAATTTTCAGAGATTTTGTAACTCCTTTGCTTTTGAATGGCATCATATTTCATTCTATTTTGGCAGCAACAATAAGTGACTTGCACACAAAAGTTAAAAAAGTTATAAAATATTTCTAAGTCCCCTACAAGGAAGAAACTTATTTAATGGCCTGAACTAAATATTTTTCTGGCCTCCTCACAAGCAGCATCCAACATTGCTGAAAGAAAACCAGCAGGATTGGAGCAGAATTAGAGAAGCATTTTGGACAGAACTTTGTTTACCTGAAAAATGTAGATGGGTCAAGAGAGGGTTTTAAGACCTTGCACTGGATTTGCTTAACTGCTAGGAATAGTAATAATTTCTGCTTTTAAAAATTCTTCTGATTAATATATTTTGTTCTAGAAATGTCACAAACTATCAAAATTATAGTCTATATTCTTAATTCAAGATATCCTGTTTACAGCTATTCAGACTTGACATTAGGAAGCGTTTCTTTAGGAGAGGGTGGTCAAACACTGAGCAGGCTCCCTGGAGAGGGGATCAATGCCCCAGGCAACCTGTCAGTGTTTTAGAGGGGTCCATAACAACAGGCTTTAACCTTTGGTCTGCCCTGAGGTACTCGGGCAGTTGGACCACATAACAGTCTGATCTACAAATTCAGTTGTTAATTTGTATTGCAAAAGATAAGACTTTGCCTTTTTACATTTCTTCCCTCAAGTCCCACTTCATTTGGAGACCAGGCAATAGGCTTCTCACCACATTCAGAGAATGCTTTTCAACAGAAATGTCTGTGTGTATGCCTTAAAACACAGCAGGTGAAGAGAGGGTGGAGTGCAGCTTTATGTTGCATTGCATCTAGCCTTGTGTTGGCTCCTTTTCACTTAGACACTGCCCCCTTATTGAGGCAGGAGTAAATCTCTAGTAATTATACAACTCAGTGTTATTATTTGTTCTACCACTGAGCTGAATTTGATCCACTCAAGGGCAGCACAGATCTAATGACATGATGTCTCTGTCTCCTGGCTTTACTGTTACAAACCAAAGCACTGAAGTGGGAATTGGTAATGCTGTGAATAACAGAGAGCTGTATTTCTATAGATCGCAGTGTTCACCAACTTCCAAACTTAACTCTACAAGCACCAAGATCAGAAAATATTATGTATCACTTCCCTGCTTTCCCTATGCTTTTCACACAATAGATGAAAATGACACTGTTTTATCTTCCAGCCATAGCCTGTGTCCCGTCATGCTTGCAAAACAAGCCCATTCATTTGATGTTTCCTTGGGGTACCTGCACACATGCTGTGTCTCAGCTGCTTTGTTTGTGCTGACTGGCAGCAAAGGAGACTGAATGATCCTGTACAGAATGTGACAGGATATGGCAGCTTGGTATACTGAAAACCTCCTGTGTCTGATGTCTCTGTATTCCAGAAAACACATCTTTATGTATTACCTGACACACTTGGTACTTTAGTTTTCAGTATTATTTAGTGTCTCCACAGCTAACTAAATGGGGTATTTTCCATCAGCATGTTATTTGTACAAAATATTTTTAAATATTTTTAAATATAGCCCTGAATTTATTGTTTATCTTCTTGTTACTCCAGAATATGGCTTGTAGTGAAATCTTAGAGAAAGGAGTTTTTCACTTTTCCTGGATCCTAGGAAATTCAGAGAGAAATTCAGGAAGAAAAGCCCACATATACAGGAAAAAAAAAAAACAAAAAAACAAGTGGGCACATGGACTACACATCATTGAAGTAATTTCCCCAGGGGAATGGTGGATTTCCTAACATTGGACACTTGTAAGAGTGCTGAACCCATCTAGGTTGTTCTTTTGCCAAGAAAGTTTGGGTCAGATGGTCCTTGAGGTCCTTTCCAATGTGGTGCCCTATGATCCTATGATTCAAATTGCAAGTTCACCTCCTACAGCTCCCAGCACAAGTTACTTACTTGATTTTTAAGGGCTAAATGAAGGCTGTGCTGAAACTAATGGCACCATTCCGAGACATGGTTCCAAAACAGAGTAATTGTCACAATAAAACAAGGAGAAGTTTGAAATTTTACAATTGATAAAATTAGCAGTACTTCTACTTCAGACAACTGGACATTGGTCTGTTAGAATTTAATGACTTACCATTAGGAAGTATTGTGTCAAATAACAATGTTTAAAAGTTTAAAGTAAAATAAGTAGAGTGTAGTGTAATACAGCGCTTATT